GTCAAAGCTCACATAGGCAGGTTCGATTGCTTTCGAACACCCTTTAACACTGGACAAATTATTTTCCTAAAATTTCAGAACACTGTTAATCTCACTTTAACATATCAACCATTAGGCTATTCACTCCTACGACGGTTAACTTTGCATTTAACTTTTCTCTGACTGAATTTCTCCTTTCCGTGACTTTATTTTACTCTCTTCTGCATTTTGTTCGTCTGCTTGCTGCTATTTATACGTCTATTGCTTAGGCCTTCTAGAAATCTCAATATCCTCGACATCAATGGACTGCACGCGACATTCGATAGCCTCGATATCAATGAATTATAAACACAACTTACGATTTTTACCGAATTACGTAACCAAACTTGTCATAACTATCGCCTTTAAAATAATTTCTTTTAACTCTATTGTTATGAAAAAATTAAACAATCTGAAATATTCACTCACAAAATAAATAAATATATGTCTTATATACCTGATAAATTGAAAAAGTGCTCGAAGCTACTAGACCTTAATATTATTGCTTACCAACGACATACAGGGGTGTGTTTACTCTCGCCCTGCGAGAGTATTGCAATCGGGTCCGTGTGTGTGTGTGTTTCCACGCACGTATTTTGAAAACTAATAGACCGATGTTTATGAGCATTTAGAGTACCATGATCAACATATTCGGTATTTCTGCACAACTATTCAAAAATGCCAACATTATCAGACAGACTCATAGATAACTCGCTTCAATATTATAAAAATATTAAAAAAATTAACTGATGGGCAAACTAGAGAGTTACGTAATACGTGATGAACCTCTACCCTCTAAACATCATAAATATGAAATTTACAGGCCAAACAGTGCTAGGATAACTGAATCCTAGACACAAATGTAGCTCTAATTTAAAAGGTTTTTAAATTGGATTATATGTTTGTATATATATGACTGCTAAGCAGAACTGTATTGTGAACACGGACTAATAGTGTGATGATACATAAGTAAAAATATACGACTTAACATTACCCCATGAATTGGACAGGGCATGAAAATGGTATGTTAATTAAAATTGCAGACAATGGACAAAATTAAACATACTGTTAGTAATGTAACAATGTAACAAGGGTTATTACCTAGGATTCAGTAACAGTGCAAGCTAAATAACAATTCCTGAGAAGGAGGAAGAGGTTAGTGCTGAACCTGACCATCCCTGGTCTAAAACATGGACAGAATCCCGATGAAGAAGAAGACGAAAATTTTACCTAAGATGGAAAGTTGGTATTGGACAATCCTCCACAAATTTGGCCCGGATCCAAGTCAGAATCTGGATTCTGAATCACTTTTAAGCATTTTTGGGGAAGATAGGGCATTTTCGCGGTTTTGGGTTAATAACTCTGTAAAGTGTGATTGGATTTGTACCACATTTCATGGGAACATTAAGGTTGAGACTCCTCATCACCCAACAAAAAATGATCCGGATCATTGATCATTTTGGATCTGAGAATGATTTTCTGAGTTTTTGAAAGTGAAATTTTACGTAATCCAATATAAACGCATGCAATCTCGAAGAAGAGTGGCGGGACGAGGGTTTTATAGGGCCAAATTCTTTTACAGTAGATGTTTGTGACTTGTTGGCGAAAAATGTCAACAATAAATGGAGAAGCACACAATCCGCCCCCCCCCCCTCCAGTGGCACAGTTGTATGTCTGAGGACTTACAATGCTATAAACCGAGTTTCGATATCCGTGGTGAGCAGAGCACAGGTAGCCCATTGTGTCGCTTTGTGCGTAAGTACAAACACGCACACAATCCACTTGTTTTAATATATATATATATATATATTCAAACAAGTCAAACATACATATAAATGTTCGTTACATTATTAATTATCACAGTTGTATCCAAAGCTTTATATAACTGTCTCTTTTGCGTTAGAGTCCATCCACACGGGTGGGTTCAATTACTTTAGGACACCCTTTGAGAAGACACATTATTCTCCTGTACTCTGTTATTACAATACAAGGCTGTGATACTCACTTCAAAATTACTATTATAACTGTTGCTTACCACAATTATATCGAAAGCTTTAAATATTTGTCTCCTGTTCATCAAATTCCACACAGGATGGTTCAATTACTTTAGAACACACTTTGACAAGACAAATTACTCTTTACTCTCTTATTATAATACAATCAGTGATAAGTTCACTTACGTTACCCCATTGGTTACCACAGCTGTATCCAGAGCGTTAAATAATTATCTTTTACGTCAAAAGTCCAGCCTGTGAACAGGCTAGTTCTGTTACTTTATAACCCAATTGACAAGACGATTTATTCTTCTCTATCTCTGTTATTACAATACAAGCTGTGAAACTCACTTTTGAAACCTGCCATTACGACTAAACTCGCGCGCAGTTGAACTTCACTTTTACTTTCACTAACCACTAACTTAGTTACTTGCACTAACTATGTCACCTATATATATGTGTGTGTGTGTATTGCTTGACTGAGGTCTAGAACTTTTTACAAACTACTGGACGTTATGATGTAACAATACTCACTTAAAGCAACGAGAAAAATTCAGAAGGTTCGAGTAACATGACGTCAATTAACAAAAACTGAGATACACAACAAATTATTGTAAGCAAACCTGCGATAAATTATCGCTTCTAAAAATACTAAATTTAACATTCACACTTTATAACTATTCAAATTATAAATCATGTATTAAATTTAAATGAAACAGTCGTACATATCTAACAGAGGGTATTCAATCTCTCTGATTGCTCTTATTTAATGATGCTTTGTGCCGTTCATATCAAGTGAGATTCGTTTTTTAAATGATATTTTTGTGAGTTTAGTACAGGATTGCAAATTGAAAAGTTTTTATACAAAAATGAACCAACAGTAAATAACAGACTGATATATGTGAACATTTTTTTTATTAAAAATGCTTTCTAAAGCGTTTAAATAATATTATTTTGTATTTTCTCTTGTTCTAAATTTTTTGGATCTGCTCACGTTGAAACACAGTAATCCAACTTGTGTTGTTCACTTTTACTCATTTAGAAGAAAAAAACATCATCTTCTTGAGTTGTTTAAGAATTAAAAAAATTATTTTTTTTATACAGAATAAGTTATCTTCATTTTGTAAACAAACAGTAGAAATTATTGTTATTTTGAGAATTTGTAATAAAAAACACAATTCTCACTGCTTAGCTTGATTGCACAAATTATAGACTTTCATATTGCGTTGTGAAACACTGGAAACTATGACCACCCTATAGTGTGATAAAGTATATGTTTTTAAGTTTCATAAGAAGCTGTTGGCTCTTAATATTACGTAGCTTTTGTAATAATACATAAATACAAAATGTCTAACAACGCATAATTTCCAAACAGTACTTTCTTTAAGTCAAGGTCTAGAAGTTATTACTCAATATCCAGCTCTTAATGACTCTGGTTTCCACATCCAAATTACCAAAACGCTGATTCATTTAATATTTTCTTTCCTTGATTACTTTGTTATCACTAAGACTTAAAGCCCGGGACCCCTAATTAACTTATGGCTGGTATGCTGCCCTGATAGAAAGAAAAAAAAACAACAACAACAGAAACTTACAAATCTTTCGTTCTTGCAAGAAAGAAAGTCATCAATTCAAATAATTTACTTGAATGTTAAAATACATTTTCCACATACCAAAACATTTAGACATATTTTACCACTCTCGATGTTTTTGTAAAGTTCATTGAAATTAGTTTCTATGGAAGGTTCATTTAGGCTAGCATCGTCTGTAAGAGAAATACAGACAAAACTAAAAGGAGACAATAAGAGCACGCAATGATTCTGCATCATTTCAGTATTCTGAAAATCTTAACTTTCACTTTTATTACATACTATATTTTGTTTCAAGTTGTAACATAACAAGTTTCCAAGTGAATGCAGGACTTATGAAAACCTGACTTTATGAAACTGAAACAATGTACAATAATTATGACGAGCGGTTTTATAACAACTGTAAGGGTTAGCTAGTTGAATCATTGTTTTATAACAAGCTGTATAAGGGTGAGTTAGCTGAATCATTGTTTTATAACAAGCTGTATAAGGGTTAGTTAGTTGAATCATTGTTTTATAACAAGCTGTTTATATAAGGATTAGTTAGTTGAATCATTGTTTTATAACAAGCTGTTTATATAAGGATTAGCTAGTGAATTATTGTTTTATAACAAGATGTTTATATAAGGATTAGCTAGTTGAATCATTATTTTATAACAAGCTGTTTATATAAAAGTTAGCTAGTTGAATCATTGTTTTATAGCAAGCTGTTTATATAAGGGTTAGCTAGTTGAATTATTGTTTTGTAACAAGCTGATTATATAAGAATTATTTAATTGAAAGCTTGTTTTATAACAAGCTGTTTATATAAGGGTTAGCTAGTTGAATCTTTGTTTTATAAAAAGCTGTTTACATAAGGTTAGCTAGTTGAAACATTGTTTTATAACAAGCTGTATAAGGGTGAGTTAGTAGAAAAATTGTTTTATAATAAACTATGTAAGCGTTACTTAGTTGAAACATTGTTTTATAACAATGAATGAGTGACGATTTCCTGAGTATTGAAAAGCCGTAGGGGTTCTTTACCTGAAACAGAGTACACTGTTTATTACAATATGTAGAGGTCGGCTAACTGAACCAGAATACGCTGTTTTATTACAAGCGGTGAGTGCTGGTTAGCTGAACCAGGATACATTATTTTATAACAAGTGTAACGGCTTGCTATCTGCAACAGAGTACTTGATTTTACAATAAGCTGTAAAAGTAGGCTAACTGAACTAAAATATATTGTTTTATAACAAACTATATATCGGATGGTTAGCCGAGACAGTGTGCGTGGTGTATAACAGGCTTTGCTAACAGGCCCATCATGTGCTGTACAGGTGTCATGGAGTTTGTTTTTTTATGTTTACTGTTCAGGGAATTGCGTATGTCGGCGTAAAACGGTGCACTGCGTATCTCGCGTCAGTCAACCACGGATTAGTAGGACGTCATGACTTTCAGGTACTTTTGCTTTTATTTGGAAACAGTAAAATGTGGCCAGTATGAGCTAGTCGAGAACCAGTTACTGTAATCCTGAATGTTTTACCTTTATCCAAAGGGATGTAAACTTTACCGTAGAACAGATAGTGCCACATCTTGGGATAAGTCAAGGTAGGTAGCTTTGTACGAGTAACATCACGTGATCTTTTCAAGGTAGTAATAAGTCCAAGTACTTGTTTCTGTGCAAGTAACGAAACGTGATCTCAGTAGGCAGCACACCTAGTTGCGCACCTCTTGTAAATGATTTCATATAAATAGGTAAATGTATAGATAGTATTCTCGTAAAGATATATCCACATGATCTCATTAAAATAAGTACAGCATTGATTATCGTATCTTCGTCCAGATCACACCACATTATCTTTCTATGTTTGAAAGGATCCGTACTCCAACAACCATATGAAGTTCTACAAACAAGAAAACAGCACCCTTAAATCGTAAATATTGACGATTTTCTTTTTAATGCGGGGTTATTAATTTAAAATTTACCGGGAAATTTTTTTTATACATTAATGCTGTTACTTTGTTGTTTTTTCCCGCATGTTCGTGGAAACTACTTAAGGTGAGTTAGTTTTCTCTAATTTTGAACTGATAGGTTAGAATGAACGAAGCTAGTCAACAACATCCACCGCAAACCCTTAGGATACTCTTACGGCCCCAATAGGACTCTAATGATGAAGCTGTAGCTCTATAGTCCAGTACGCCAATCACCGGGACACACTCGACCCTCTTAATTCGCAAACAATATAAACTTCCATGTCTTTTATATTTAAATTGTTTATAATTTCTGATCTAACGAAAAACTGCTGCTTGAATTTAATATTAACATATATAACTCAGCTTTATGAGTTGAATATTTTCAGCCAAGAACAGCAGAGTGTGTATTTTATATTCAAGGTACATATAGTTACATAGATTTCATATTTCAACGATATAACATTTTCTAGATTATATGTTTAACCTTTGTGCAGCTGTTTGAATTTAATATTAACATCTATGACTCAGCTTTATGAGTTGAATATTTTCAGCCAAGAACAGCAGAGTGTGTATTTTATATTCAAGGTACATATAGTTACATAGATTTCATATTTCAACGATATAACATTTTCTAGATTATATGTACAACCTTTGTGCAGCTGTTTGAATTTAATATTAACATATATACAGTTCTAATGAAGTTATTTTAAAGTACAGAGTGGACCATATCGCCCCCCCCCCCAATAACAAAATAGAAATAATAGTAATCTTATTGGGGGTCGCTATGAACCTCTCTGTATGCAAAGCTCTATGGACTTAATATTTTAAATTGTACACTTTTCTATACATTGGATATATGTAGACTTATAGGCTGATTTTGAGTAGTAGCAATATTTTGTAATTCTGGAAGCAACCGGTTTAAATTAATACCATTCAATCATCAACCACTCCGGATACATTGGAATTATGGGTAATTAAATCAGTAAGTTCGAATTAAATTAGTCTCTGGGTGTAACATTCAATCATCAGTAGCTCCGAATATATATGTACTAGAGATTATTACCCTTCATTGGCAAACGCCCCCCAGTGGCACAACGGTATGTCTGCGGATTTACAACGCTAGAATCCGGGTTTCGATACCCGTGGAGGGCAGAGCACAGATAGCCCATAGTGATGCTTTGTGCTTAATTACAAACAAACAATCATTGGCAAACACACGTTATATCGGTTTTGGGGGATATCAATGCTCACCAGTTATTCAAAGTTAGTCCTTGCAAAACGCTTCATCGGGCCTTTCAAAGCGGATAATTAAAAATATCGGTAACAGACAAACTTTACTTTTACACCAACTTTTAGTTGCGTAATATTTTTTTTAGTAGGTTAATAATAAAATATATTATATCTTAACTGATCTTTAATCGGTTCTTAACTTCTTAAAATCTAACGAAAACAATCCTACCTTCCATTCTTGCGATATAAATGTGACAGAATATTTTCAAATACTCACGTTAAGTTATTGTTCATGTAACGTGGTGTAAGTTATGTAACTCATATATTATTATATATTATAATTAGACAGAAATTCTACGAAGTTTTTCACACTTCATTTTTATTTCATTATGTACCAGGCACTGCCTAACACACCCTTGTACGTTTTAATTAATTATAAGATAAATACCAGAAGTTCCGATTACACTGGACCAAAAACAGCTCAGTCATATTCATTCTTGGGTTTTACAAGCCGCTGGCTGTCTCGGTAAACGCGTGTTTTATTTTTGCTTACATTATAATTCTTTCTCGTGAATGTTTCTCAGAGGTTCATTTGTTATTCAATGCTGTCGTTGACGGCTTCATAAGCTAATGTATTTGTGTTTTTGTAATCTAAGTTTCTTAATTTCTTTCCAATAGGCTGAGTGAAATGGGTGAGAGTTACTGTTTATGTAAAAGATGTATTGATTAAGAATAATTATCATAACTAGTTTATTTTATCTGTTATTGTTAAAATAAACAACAAAAATTAGGCATATCTTTTTCTCTTTATCTTTGTATACATCATTAAAGTCTTTGTCGCTCAGACACTGTTTACTTATTCTGTCTTTTAATAGGTTCTAATTTTCTTCTTCTAGATTCTTATTGACTGTTATGACAAGGCTTCGGTTGAGCGTGAGAGCAAGTCTTTCCAAGTACGTAAGATCACCAACAACGTTTTAAAAAGTTACTGGTATCTTTAAGAAGAGAATAAAAGAATTTCTGAAAATCAAGACAGTCTTGAGGCTTATACTATATTTAAACGTTCTGTAGAGTAACACAAAAATATCTTAATGGTTTATGTTGGTTTTCGAAAGAACGAGTGACTATAAAGTCTTCAATCTTTCAGTAATTTTTAAAGTATACAAGAGAAGAAGGTGGTTTTAAAATTTTCAAAGGTTCGGTTTTACGTGAGTTAACAACAAACTAACATGGTTGACTCTCTATGGCACCAAAGTCCTTCTCGGACTCTAGTTCTTGGCTGCATCCTCACTTTCATTGCAGCAGTGTTACTAATAATTGCCTTCGCCTGCCCTTATTGGATGGAGTCAGATTCGGAAACAGATAGAAGGTTTGTGCGTATGGGTTTGTGGAGTGTTTGTTTTAATAACTACAAACATCTCCCCTATTCATACGACAGAAAGTTTGATGGCTGCCACTGGATTTACGGTTATGAGTATGAAGATATACGGGATTGGTTACAACCAGGTACGTAGTTTTACTGTGTTTCTTCTGTAAGCAGCCAGTTTTGTAAAAACAAAAACAGTGAGTCGATTATTTGTGATTATATATTAATGCCATCACATAAAAACATTTTCCCAAATAGTTATTTTAAAAATAAGGGCGCCACCTTGTGATTAATAGTTATTAATGTTATCTAACAACAAACTTTTTATCTATCAAGTTATCGTTGTTATTCGCGAAACACTATATATTTTAAACCAGAACAGCTACACTGGTCAATGAATGCTTCCTCTCACCCCATAGGTATCTTTGAATTGTGTATGATAGCTACGTAAGAACATTTGACGCATCTATTTTTGTACTTTAATGATTTACTTTAATTTCTTAGTCAGAAAAGTTCCTTTCTGTGCAAATCGCGCTTTTTTTATACATTTAAAATACATGTTGATTAAAAGTATAAAATGAAAAGCGTTTAAAACCTTTCTGTGTTATCTTTATTTCACGGTTTATACTTTCAAACATTAAACTTTGAAATGCATTAGGTCTACTACACACAAGCTCGCATGGAAGCAAGACTTGATACGCTGATTGCGTAACAAACGAGTTTAATAGCTGAACAAAAACCTTTCCCACAGATACTTCCAAACCTGTTGTCATAGTGAGACTGCTAGAATGAATCATAATAATAAAGAAACAACAAGAACAGAGTAACACAAAAGTAAATAATTGTTTCATCCCTGTTTAATTCAAAATTGTTATGACAATGAAATAATTCCAGACTCTGAGACATTTTTTTTTGCAAAGTCAATAATTAAATTAGTACACGAGATAGATAACTGAAAAAAATAGATAATTTGTAAGTATTGGTAAGAAAGTTTCTTTATTCATTGTCCATTACCCTAAATTTTTTTGTAAATTGTAATAAAAAATCACTCCGCAATATGTTCTCTGGAAAGATAAAATAATGTTACGTCTCTGGTCGTTAGTTAATTTCCCGTATAATTTCTTTCCGATGAAACTTTAGCGACACAAGTCCTTTTCTAAATAAAACTAGATTATTCTTTCTCAATACAACTTTGAAATTCACGTAATTTCCACGGTCATACTATAAGTTAAACAAACACTATGATTTACAACGAACGACTCACGCGCTCGACCCAACAGTCCGCCTCTATCTCTGTCTGCAATTCAACTACATTACATTGTTGCCGTCACTTCTTGGTGGTCTTATATACAAGAATACCGCATATCTAGTAACCTCTCGAGGCTTCAAGAAAGGGCATGAACGTTCTAGAAGCGCATGACGTGTTACTAGAGTCACGTGACCTCCGCCGTCGTAACAGTAACATAATTAACTACTGATTTTAATACGTGAAAGTTGAAAAAATACGCTTGCTCCAAAAGCTAGAGCTCGAGGATTACTTTTAGATCACATCTACTTGGACTGATTATGATGTATTCTTAATTATTTTAAGGAGTTAAGCACAAAAATAATTTTCAGCATAAAGCATCTAGAACCCTGGAATCTTAAAACCGTTTTCACTTCTTCAGTATATATCACTTGATATATGTGTGTAATATAAATAAATTTATAACTAAAGTTATCTTACGTTTCACAGCTCTTACGTCTTTACTCTTCCATGAATATTTTGACCTGTAACTTCAAGTGCATATTCGTGCTGTTGTTAGCAATATCTACTGTTACTAATTTTCGTAAATACATAAACAAATCACGAGTAAATGTCGTAGGCAGATATTATGGCTGTAACCCTTTCATAACTTTGAAAACAAATACATTTTTATTTTGATATGTTCGGGGTTTGTTATTTCTTTTAAATTAAATACAGTTTGCTTGTAACTAGATTGGGTGTTAAGAGGATGTATCTAGCTGTGAGAGAGGCTAATTATGCATTTAGGTTCATCTACGTGGTTAGAACAGTGCAATCGTATTTGTTTCTAAATTGGGCAGCGCTCTAATTCAGTCATTAACACTTTTCTTACGATATCTGGTTTACTGGACATATGCAGAAATAGACAAACGGAAAATGTTACTTTGCTCTTTTTAATAATCAGACTATAGTCTCCTGACGTGTGTTTGAGACCTTCTGGGCAGTGTAACAAAGTTAAATTTTCGGCACTGGCTAGGGCAGATATAGTGTCGTTGATGTATTGTTATACATTCCTTTTTACTTTCGCCGCTAAATTCATAGAATTACATTATAATTCCAAGCAGAGCTAGCATTGGCTCATTTTTTGAGTCCAAAAGTGCCTCTGTCTGTGTTGTCAAAATCTTCTGTAGCTGATGTACAGAAAAATTAGTCGTAGGTCAAAATCCTCTTAGACATATGGTATTTTCAAAGTCACTGATTTCCCTCAGAGTAAACAGGTAGGAGCCAAAAATCGAGAGAACCGATGGACGCTGTATCGTAAAGGTTTGATTTTGACTGAGTCTGACACCAAGAAAAAGACTGAAAACAAAAGTGTACAAATTAAAAATATTTATTTGTGAAATATATAAAATTAAACACAGGCAAGTGATTCTCTATGGTGTGATGAATGGAGAGAAACTTTTAATATTGTCTTTCTCAAAAGTTCAGGCTTGCTGCGAACCAAAAAGTGTAAACAAGTAAACGCAAAATATGCTCACAAACAAAGGAATCTGAAAGAAAATGGAAAGTAAGACGAAACAAAGAATCTATACAAAATCTGACTTTAATTAAGAATTGACTGAAATAAACCTACAGTCTCAGAACAGAGTAAAAATCTGCAAATCTTTAAGAGCTGCAAAATCTTACTAAAACAAATAGAAATATTGCAATATATACAACATACACACACTCTTTCTCTCTCTAGGCACACGCGCTATACACCTTACTGAGGGCCACTCACAAGTTAATAATAGTGTATCAAGCCCTCCGGACACTTCATCATTTACTACGATAAATCTACAATGTTTCATGCTAAAGTAACCTTTCATAAAGTGAAAACATGGTGACGTCTTTAGTACCAGACTCACCTCATCTTGTGAAAATCTAAAGCAAAAGAAACTTAGTGGCTCTTCCTTGACTGACGTTATAATGTAAAAATCAACTCAAATTACACTGAAATGTTTGAAAATATACACATTAACTAAGGAGGCAAAAAATATTTCATACATTCTTGTATCACACACTTCATAGGCCATCTTTTCAGTGATGCTAAATTACAAGTAATTTGGCTTATTTGCTGTCTAGTGAATCCTCTGTGTCAGTATTTTATCTGTTGTCGATTCTGATTTAGTCAAATTTATTTACACTTACTCTCAGTTTTCAGTTTTAAGATTTTATCTGATGATACCACATATAATGTACTATATTAAGCAACTAGTTTGTCACAAACAATAATATGGATTAGTAATAATGATCATTTACCATCATAATTACTATTTCAGTGCTTTAAAGCCATCGATCAAATGAAACATTTATTTTTGATTTACAGTCACATTTATAATGTATAAATAGGTGTGATGAAAATGGATTTATTAAGTTTTACAAATACTATTAAATCATTCTTAGCTGGCTTAGGCCTAATAAGAAATTCTGTGGATTTATATAATTATTTGTGGTTTTAAAATATTGTAATGATAGCGGAAGTCAAGTGACGCTGGTAACACGTGATGAGTTTCTAGAAGGATCATGAAGGCTCGAGTGTTTGCCAGAAGCCCTCTATTTTAATATATAAGTCTGGCAAATAAAGGGAGACAATAATTGCAGATAGACAGATAATTGAGTCAAGTGAGTAGTAGTGACCGTAAGTAAAGTGCGTGAATCGTTCGTTGTGAATTATAGCGTGTGTTGAAGTTAAAGTGACTGTGGAAATTAAGTGTATTGCAAAGTTGTATTGAGAAAGAATAAACTAGTTTTATTTAAGAAAGGACTTGTATCGCTGAAGTTTCTCGGGAATAATTTCTTCGGGAAATTAACAAACGAACAAAGACGTAACAATATCTATGATATTTTCTTATTCTTATGGGTTTCTATATCGTAATAATTAAACAAATATATCGTTTACAGTTTGTAAAAGTTGAGAGAAATTATATGAATGTTCTGAACTTTTATGTGAAGTTTAAAACTTTTGTTGTGCAATAATAATAATATAAACATACATTTCTATGAACTTTTAATACTTATTTCAATCATATCGACTTGTAAAAGGTGTACATATCAAAACAATTTAGATATTTATTGTTTGAATAAATATTCTGTAAAAGTGTAGCTCAACAGTTGTTTAGAGTTCAAATGGTCAAACATTTACTAAAACTTTTACATATCTGTTGTTGTTACAGGATGGTTTGTTTTCGTTCAAACGATGATGTCGTTCGCTCTATGGTTTTCAATGATGGCTCTATTTACAGTCTTCGCTATAGTCATGAGAGTTCTGATGAAGCTCGAAGTATTTCTGTTAGCGTCTTCTGCTGTACTTTGTGTACTTACAGGTAGGTAAACTTTTCTAATGTACAAATGTGTAAAGAATTTGAAAACTTTGATTTGCAGTCGTCTTGTACATTTGTTGAACAAGACCTTGACTACTTTAACTTTCAAATGGGCAGATAGATAGTAAGATAGAAGAAACAATTAGTCATAAGATTGCTTTTGGTTGTATTAATTTCTATGTACACTAGATCTAAATGTGGCAACTTTCTGGAATTAGATCTGGATACGGCAGAGTTTGGGGGGTAGTTATCATTACTAAATGTAGACGTGGCAGATTTCTGGGGGATTGCTATCATACTCGATTTAAATGTGGTATATTTCAGAGATAAGTTTCATACTAGATCTAGATGTGGCAGATTTCTGGGGGATTGCTATAATACTAGAACTAAATGTGGCAGAGTTGGGGGGTTTCGATTGTTATATATGTGGATTTGCACGAAATTTTGTTTGGATTGTTATGTTTATGCTATCTTCACTTTATACTGCAGCGCTACCTTTATTCCTGGCTGTAGCCGTGTTTGGAGGCTTGTGCTATGACCGCTCATGGTTACCTGGGACAAGTTTCAACTATATTTCGTGGGCCTATGCTCTCGGAGTCATTTCTATCTTTTTCCACATTTTGTCATCGGCCTGCTTGTTTTCTGAAGCTGGAAAAGCACGTGAACGACGTCGTATGGGTAGTAATCTAGTGTACAACATTCCGTCCAGGTAAGCCTAATTGAAACATAATTGGCGGGTTCTTTTTGATTATTCAATAAAAACAATGAAGAGTTTTATTTCTTGTTGAACTTCACTATCTGCACCAGCCGTCCCTAATTTTAAATTATAGACCAGAGGGAAATCAGCAACGCCAACTCTTGGGTTACATTTTACCAATTAATGGTGTGCTTGATCGTTACATTATAATGCCCCCACAGGTGAGTATGTGCTGCAACGAGTTGTGATCCTATGACCAGCAGATTGAGAGTCGAATGCCCTAGTCATTAGGCCATACCAACTCAATAACGCAAAGTACAGTCTATTAAAATTAAATGATAACAAAGTTAAGCACAAAGCTACACAATGAGCTATCTGTACTCTGCTCACTACGGGTATCGAAACCTGGTTTCTAGCGTTGTAAGTCCGCAGATATAGCGCTGTGCTACTGGAAGAGGGGGGGATGATAACGAAAGCGATTTCTTTCTTCGACTGTAACGTACACGTTTTTAAAGACTACGTTCGTTGATAGTCCTAACCCACATAAAGAATTAAAGTCACTCACTTGTAAATTTCCTCTCTTATCAACGACACAACTCAAAATTGGCAGACTAACTTGAATAACGTGTTAACATATTTACAAAGTGACTTACTAGCTCACTGCGTAACTCTGTAATTCATTGAATAACTGTTTTGTTTTATAGCTCACACTATCCCCCCACCCCCACCCCAAAAAAGAACAAAATGCTGAAAATTAGATACACCATTCCAAATTTATCCATTCAGGAAACTCCTAAAGGTGACGCCCGGCATGGCCACGTGGCCCAGGGTGCTCGACTCGCAATCTGAGGGTCGTTGGTTCGAATCCCCGTCACACCAAGCGTGCTCGCCCTTTCAACCGTGGGGGCGTTATAATGCGACGGTCAATCCCACTATTCGTTGGTAAAAGAGTAGCCCAAAAATTGGTGGTGGGTGGTGATGACTAGCTGCCTTCCCTCTAGTCTTACATGCTAAATTAGGGACGGCTAGCACAGATAGCCCTCGTGTAGCTTTGCGTGTAATTCAAAAAACAAACAAACCTAGAGGTGACACATTGTCATTACCTCACGCCAGAAACTCCCTTTAGGAAACAAAACGTCTAAATTAAAATATTTTACTCGCGTCATACAACAGTATTAACGTTAAAAAGTCAAAAATGCCTTACGCTTTGTTGAAATATTCATGTTCAGCTGATATTTAGAAAAAACAAACAAACTTCAGTACGATTGTACAATTGACAATTAAAGCTTAAACGCTATCCGAGATTGTGACATGGTAATACATTCATCATCTTTGAAGATTCTTTCCAAATGCAGTGATGTGGGAGATTTAAGTTGAGAAGAGAAATTGATTGTTTGTTTGAAGTTAAGTACAAAGCTACACAATAGGTTATCTGTGCTCTGTTTACCACGGGTATCGAAACCCGGTTTCTAGCGTTGTAAGTCCGCACACATACCGCCGTACCACTGGGGGGGGGGGGCGCAAGAGAAATTGAAACAAAAAAAAAACTTCGGGTCTTTCAGTAGTTTTTTCAAGGTCAAATATTTATGGTTTAGTTTTTAGTTCAAAATATATAACGAAATAAGTTTTGTTAATCGGTTAGAAAATGCGCTACTAGTCTTATGAACGTTGAAAATATGGTTAATTGGATATAAATATGTTTTTTTATACAGAGGAATAGTGATGACGAACAACTCGCCACCGTCGAGAAGAACAAACTGACGGATAACTCATCAAAATGAACTACAGCATTAGAGCATTTTCCATATTTATATTTATTCCAGAATTGTCACATATTGTTTGTTTTATACTTGTTCAACTAAGTCCGTAAAATAACAGGTGTTTAGTCGTCATACGTTAAAGTTATTGGTAAGATTTAATTCATATATCTTATTTGTTGGTGTTAGGGCCAGATCTTATTTATTACACACTCAGTAGTAAGTAAAGTGCTAGTAAAGTTTTAGTTTCATTTTAGCGGATTAAGAATAAAAGTTGTTGTTTTTCATTTACCGATTAAGGTTTCTACTGAATAAGGGGAAAAAAAAAAGAAAATCTAATGTCAAAAATTCCATTTGTAATTACTTAGCAGTTCCGATTTTCACTGATAGTATTCTTAAAGTCTGATCTTTGTGCAGTTAAAATATCAACCTGAATGAATGGACAATATTTGGTGTCTTTATTTGTAAATCTAAAATGTATTAAAGATCACGCATCAAATTCCATTTCTTGTTTCCAGACTTCGTTATTTCAATATTTGAAAAAGTGTGAGCCATCAGAATGAGACAATGTTACCGTGTGGTTATAACTGTCATCTGTGTCAAAAGTCTTTCTAATTGACAAATTGTTATTTTGTGTTTGTATATGCTGTTCTATCGCGTATATTCCAAGTGCTCATCATCTCGAGTACATGGCCCACACGTTCTCAAGAATAATGTATCACAGAAATATTTTCATGGATGACTATTTCTACTGTCAGTTTGGAACACAAAAATATTTACTTTGATGTGTGTGTTTTGATTCCTAATGTATACGATAAAGTACGGGTTTTCACAAATAGGATGACCTAAATAGTACACGTTTCAAGATTAAACTTTCTTTTTTTCAGCGTTAATATTAATACCTACTCAGAAGCCTATGTCAGTTTTTCCTGAAGGAAGCAAATCCATCTATCAAACACAAAAAATTCTACGAGTGTTCTTCCAGTTGTGAGAAGCATTACTTATATTTTTTCTAGCAATTTAGTTTAACATTGAAATATAGTATACGCAATACAACGCTGTTGCATTCAATCGCGATTTCTATTAATAGATAAATTAATTTTTCTGTTCATTAGTGTACTTGATTGATCATAGATGGCGCAACGAAATAAGGTTTTTGTATTTGTTTTTAAAATGGTGTATACAGCAATGGTACTTTAATGTGAAACTATAAAGAGAAAATGTAGATTAAGAGTCTGTAATACAATAAATTTTGTTGTCTGGTATCTTATATTTATCTAATAAAAAGAAAAGGTTTCTATCGTCTGGATTGATGAACTTTTCTGAAATACCACCAGTGGCAGTTTTTTAAATAAGATAAATTAGTTATACGCGGTGCTCCATCACCTGATGTGTAATATTTACATGATAAGCCACAAAATAAGGTTTAAAAGGTTGTTTAAATTTTATTTTAAGCTTTGAATATAACAGCAAAAACATTATTACTCTACGAATAGCTATAACTTAAAATCTCATGCAGGTAACAGGTGAAATTTTTGGCTTAAATATTCAACAACAAATGATATGAAAATAAATCATTTACAATAGCTCTATTATTATCAAAGCAGCGATAAAACTGTTTACTAAGACGTAACGACTAAACTGATTCAGAATTCGAAACGTAACAAGTGTGGAAATCCGGTTTCTGTAAATGTCATTCACTTCCTCCTAGAGATTGAGAAGAAAAAGATTAAGTTGACGGGAAGGGCAGTTAAGGCGTAATGTAGGACTAACATGACACAAATTCATCTATAAAAGGAGAATTTTGAGAATAAATGTTGACTTATAAGGGAGGGAGATCGGTTTGAGTCAGTTTGAAGAGGAGCGAGAATTTTATTTGGGAATATATTTTAGAGAACAAAAGGTTTCAGTAAAAGAAAGAAAAAATTATGGTTCTGAGAAGAACCCCGAGTAAATTTGTTGCGTTTTGAGAATAAAGTTTGAGAGAACTGAGCGAAAAAAGTAAGAACATCGGTTTGGGCTAAATGTTAATTGGGGTAAGCTGATTAATTTAGGTGAATTTACTGACTGTGACAAAAGAAGTACAGTCAGGAGGATCGGTGAGCAAATTCTGATATGGCCAGGAAGATAAGTATGTTACTGTCAGTAGGAAGAGTATAGAAACTCTGATACGGCCAGGAAGATGAGTGTGGAAAGTCTGTTACTGTCAGTAGGAAGAGTATAGAAACTCTGATAAGGCCAGGAAGATGAGTGTGGAAAGTCTGTTACTGTCAGTAGGAAGAGTATAGAAACTCTGATAAGGCCAGGAAGATGAGTGTTGAAAGTCTGTTACTGTCAGTTGGAAGAGTATAGAAACTCTGATACGGCCAGGAAGATGAGTGTGGAAAGTCTGTTACTGTCAGTAGGAAGAGTATAGAAACTCTGACAAGGCCAGGAAGATGAGGGCGGAAAGTCTGGAAATTAATATTCCGTCTGTGATGTTGAGGTGGATTTGAATGAATCGAACATGATGCGAAAGTGAAAAGAGGGCGAAGTTGAGCATGGAGGGTAGAAGTTAAAACTATCCTGGTAAAATGAGTAACTTTACGATCTTACAAGACGTAATTCGGTTGACATCATACAAATAAAGGCAAGATACAGGCAAAGCAGGCATGACGTCATCATCATCATCATGTATATATATAGTAGAATTAGCGAAGGAAGACATTCGATATGCCAATAGGACTGGTAAGCTTGTGAAAGGTGGCTGAAAAAATTCAGAATTATTAGGTCACGGATGGCCTAAGTGGTCATAATTGACTGAGAGCATGGTTAAAAGATCAAATATCATGATGTAATCTCGTCTTGAAGAGATCGATACTGACCCCAGCTTTATAGTTTGCAAAATGATGTTCATTATTTACATAGTAGACAGAGTGGGGAAACAATAAATCAGTAATCAAAAAGATGAAAACGATGATGTGTGGTTGAGAACTGATACATGACCGATAAAATTTGTGGTAGAGAACCGATACAAGACGGATAAAATTTGTGATAGAGAACCGATACATGACCGATAAAATTTGTGGTAGAGAACGGATAAAATTTGTGGTAGAGAACTGATACAGGACCGATAAAATTTGTGATAGAAAACTGATACAGGACCGATAAAATTTGTGGTAGAGAACTGATACAGGACCGATAAAATTTGTAGTAGAGAACTGATACAGGACCGATAAAATTTGTGATAGAGAACTGATACCGGACCTATAAAATTTGTGGTAGAGAACTGATACCGGACCTATAAAATTTGTGGTAGAGAACTGATACCGGACCGATAAAATTCCTGATAAAGATGTGATTCTTTAAAAGTACTATTGATAGTATGTGACAATTGGCGAAAAAAACAAACAAACATAAATAAAAACTGTGAAAAACAATTCGGAAAAGAAAAACTAGTAACAAAGAAGTGACAGATATTAACAAAAAAGCTCTTTACATTGTGAATCAAAAACCGTTAAAATGGTTAGGAAAAAGACGCGAGAAAGCAAAAGAGAACAGATAAACAAACACGTCTGTTGAGTACAAGAGTTCAAATTTTAATGTGTTTATGTGAAAGAAGAAATCAAAATACATAACTTGTCGTGAAGTTTATGTGCATGGTCTCAAAGTTTATGTGAAATGGCGATATTGCTGGTTTTTTGTTGGTGTTGTTTTTCTTCATCCAAATTGTACGTGTTGGTGAAATGAAAAAGAAATAGGGTCTGACGGTTCTTTCTTTTACCAAGAGGCGCGGTTTTAGTAATAAAAACTATAAAACCTGTACGTTTTGACCGTTTTTCTTCGATTGATACACAGTAGGCTAGGTTCAAGTGCGGACTCTTAATTTAAGTTTATAGCTTGAATTGTAATTATTTTAAAAGTTCATGAAGGAATCATCCAATGCTGAACTGGATCCACGTTTTCTTACTGAAACATTATCAACTAAAAACAAATAAATGCATTTATGCTTTAACTTTGCGAATGAATCTCGTGTTTCATGATAAGCAAGAAAACATAACAGATCTACATGTTAATGTTTGTTGCAATAGCTCGAATTGTTTTAATTTGAACACTCAAGATTATAATAAATGTATTTTGTTTGTTTTAAAACTGCACGGATGTGGCCTAGTGGTTAGTGTGCTGGGCTGCAGATCGCTAGGTTCATAGTTCGAGCCCCCATGTCGCTGAACACGCTATGTATTTTCAGTTGTGGGTAAATTAGTAAAATGACAGTTATATCCGTTATTCAATTGTAGGAGCTAGGCAAATGACAGGTATGTCCGTTGTTCAATTGTAGGAGCCAGACAAATCTCTTTTGTTAGCGAGTACCTTTGGTCTTTCATTAAAAAATAGAGAAGGCTATACATAAACCCTATACATAAAATATCGCTCAGATTGAAAATACCAATACCAATTGTTATCAAATAGTGATATCTTCCCCATCATACTGAAATGCATAATATACATGGAATTCTTTCTCTACGGTATAAAATCAACATAAAAAAGTTTACCTCTATAACACATAGATCTTATTGAACACCAACGGTTTGATTTGTTTTTAATTTCGCGCAAAGCAACACGAGGGCTATCTGCGCTAGCCGTTCATCAACTAGCAGTGAAAGACTAGGGAGAAGGCAGCTAGTAATCGCCATCTACCGCCAACTCGTGGGCTACTCTTTTAACAACGAATAGTGACATTGACCGTCACATTATAACGCCCCCACGCCTGAAAGGGCGAGCATGTTTGGTGAGACGAGGATTCGAACCCGCGATCCTCAGATCGCGAGTCAAGCGCCCTAATCACCTGGCCATGCCGGGCCCGAACAATTAACACCAACGGAATTAAGGGAATCAAACAGGAGTTACACGTAGTTCTGTGTGAAAAGCAGTTACCATAGGAATTCTAAAAACTTATGAGTAAAAGTAAAGAAGAATGAATAACAATATGTCAACCACACTATATCTACTGTATTTAGTGCCAACGAGGCCTTTCGTTCAATGTCAGGACTCACCATGCTGGCAGAGATACAACAGAAATAGCTTATAATATGAGACACTTCACATAATATCTTAGTCATATTTCAGTTTTTTTTTTCAGAAATATACACATGCATATGAATAAATTATAAAATGTTAGCTTATTTCAACAATGTTTAATAATATATAGGGGTAATATGAACACAAAACACAGATACATAATCATAGGTCAAAGATGAAGAAACGTGTCTTTTATAGAACAAGAATAACACATATGTCTCCTCTAACAGATCAGGGTGCATAGATCAACAAGAATACACACTTATAATGACGGATGATAATAGATTGGGGTGATATGTAACAAAAAACACATATACGTAACCGTAGGTCAAAAATGAAGAAATGTGTCTTTTATAGAACAAGAATAACACACATGTCTCCTCTAACAGATCAGGGTGCATAGATCAACAAGAATACACACTTATAATGACGGATGATAATAGATT